AATGTGAAGAAATAACAGGATTTCCTCACAACCCTGTCCTCTCTGACCACTTTCTAATAACCTTCAGGATTAGGACTCGTTGGGCCTCCCTGCACACCTGCGGTTCATTGGATCATTACTGGAGGAGTATTTAATCCTCTGGGTCCAACGTATGTCTACCTGTCCGCTCTCCAGCAAGTTCCCTCTCCTCTGGTTATTTCCCCACAAACTGGATTCAAGGATTCAAGGAACAATAGCCCTCTCAGACGTGAGTTTCTCTCCAGCTATATTCAAGCCTCAGTCAATTTTCTTACGGTCCCAGAACTGATCACTGTGATCTCTCTTTCAGACTTTCTGGTTCCGGTTCTTCAGTCCACTGAGTTCCAGCTCCTACTTCTGTGTTTCATCAACATTCGATAAACCTGTTAAACTGAGTGGTTCTCTGCATGTGGGTCAGATCGCTTGAACCAATCATGACAAGGACCCTTTGTAAAGCAAGAGCAGCATATTTCTCCTCATTAATAAAGAATAATCCTAGATATCTTTTTAATCCAGTTGCCAAACTCGCCCAGAGCCATAGCTCTGTTGAACCGTTAAATTGAAAACCAACAGGCCATAATGAAAATGAGCTTAAATGAAACAAAAATAACGAGTCTATTTTAAAAATGTAAGAAGTAAAAGTTTCTAAAATGAGAATTACTGCAGTAAAGTATAGATAGCCACAATTACTACTTCAGTAAGGAAATGAAGTATTTTTACTTTGTTACTGGATACTTCTGGCTAAAATACAGAAAGTCTGTAAGAACTCTGAATGATTGAATATAATAATCGCTCTAAAGGCTGAACTGTGTAAAACGCCTCCTTTGATCCCTNATATCAGTGCTGAGATGTTCACCTCATGATCCTCCAGGTGGCAGCGTTCCATCTTCTTGTTACATTTGGAGCATTTCACCTTCAGACCAACAAAAACAACTCAGTAAAGAAAATCTTCATTAGCAGAAACGAAGGACACTTTGACAGAGCAGCGGTTTGTGTTTGGAAGCTCACCTGGGTGTGCTGCTCCTCTCGGTGCTGGCTGAGCAGCTCTCTGGGGACGGCTTCATCGCAGTCAGGACAGACGCTTAGAAAGCGCCTGCAGTGGCTCTCATGCAGGGCGAAGTTAGCCTCTGCCACCTCCTTGTGGCTAGAAGAGAAGAAGCACAGCTGGGGCTTTGTTGGGCAGATACAGACAGTCATAAAACAGATCATTAATAGAGTTATACTCTGTTAATATAAATGTTTCACTGCAAAATAAAAGGTTTAGAAGAAGAAACAGTTTTGTTATCCAGTGCAACCAGTGGTGTGCACAGACATTTTTGGGGACAGGTGCTCAGGTTGGAAAAAGGGCACCTTCTATGTCACATGGAGCCGCCAACAGCCAAACACCGTCTGATGCTGACGTTTGACGATTGCCAATTAAAGGGGTCATAGATGCCAAACTGAGTTTCCATGTTCATAGATGAATAACGATAGTTCAGGGAGTGAAATAGACGTACATAGAAGTTCAAACCCCATCATCATCCCCTTTCTCTGCAAATCTCACTATTCTAAACTTCCACAATAAAACAGGGAATCCAAACGAAGCAACGAGTTGACGTAAACTCTGGGATGTTGCCTTATTCGGTTCTGGCCTGGACTTTTATCACGCCCTGAAATGAGCATCCAGACCAGCCCACTGGTTCACGGCCCAGGAACATGAATAGAGGAAGATGGAAGACGGCAGTTTAGCTGTTTAGCCTACAGGTGGGTTTACTGCTACAAGAATTACAAAGCAGGAAGTTTCTCTATAGAAAATGATCCAGAACCACGGGAGGAAATGCAGTGTTCCAGGCTGACCGGAGGAAGGGGAACATTTAAGTACATAAAAGTAAAAATAATGCAGGAAAAAAGTTAGGTCCAGAATCTTCTATGCACTACCTTATTAAAGGAACATGTTTCTACAATTCTGGATAACAACTTCCTTAGACTTAATTTTCTTAGTTTATAACTAATGGTATTAGTGTCAAATTTAACTTTGCATCATCAGAGTCCTAGTTTAACAGACCTCTCTGCAGCTTCTCTACTGTTACCCACTCTTTACTCCATCCTGACAGTGTCTTGCCCACGACCAAAATCTAATAAATTAGCAAATATTTCCAAAGGAGTAAATGATGATAATCTAGTTAACATGAAAATAACTGCAATTGGGGAAAAAGTTAAAACGA